CTGTCGATTGAAGCACCGGACTTCATGTAGACCCCGTCATCGTAGACATTCATGACTATTTTCGGTTCTGAATTGCCTGTTGTCGCCATCTACTACCTGGAACCATCGTCATTTGCGGGCGCGACGTCGCACGCGACGCTCACCTGCGCGGAGAACGATGATCCTCTTGTCACATATCCTAGACATAGCACTTTGGCGTCAAATCTGTTGTGCCATGGCGGCCTAAGTCATTTATCGTTTGATTGACGACCCATTCTAGTACGCTACTATGCTATGGCACACTTGATTCGACGTCAAAGGGCTCTCTGGAGTCAATTATGTAGCTAGGGTTGCTGGTTTGAGTCGGAGGCGATGCCGCGCTTCAGATTATCCGAACAACAGCCGCTTACACCTTCTTCTTTCTCGTTGCCGTGGAGAGTATAGCGTGATGTTCCCGTCTTGGTCAGTCTGATGAACTTTTCCTTGGTGTTCCCAGCTGGAACAACCCTCTAGGACCTCTATTGGGTGTTCCTGGAGCCGAAGGCTTAGCGCGGAATGAAACCAAGGTCTTCTCCACGTCCTCCTCTACCAGGGCGCCTATTTTTTATCCTGACGCGCCTTTTCAAAGTTTTCCTGTCACATGGACTCGGAAGACGACCCTGTCTGAGTGCTTGTGCGCAGCACTCATTTATTCCTCTATTTTGGTAACAAGTAATATTTTTGCATTGATTGTTGCATCCTAACATGGGACCCTCTGTCGGCTGGCTTGTTGCCACTCTTGCGTCATCAATGGGATCCTTTTTGTTTGTTCAAGCTGGCCGTGGAGTAATTACCTAGAGCCATCTAGAATTATATTACGTAGACGCAATTTCCATTAGCTTTAGTTTTCCCTTAATTGAATATTTATATTAAATTTGCTACGCTTATGAGAACATGTTAATTTTTTCAGCCACTTATCCAGTTGCCATGTGCCGAGAGCGATTCTGCGGACAGCGAGGACAGGTAAGCATGTGACAAGCTTTTCATGTTTTCTTTCATACTTGCGGATTTCTCAATTTTGAATGGCTTATTCGATGGAGGGTTATTTCATAATCGTGAAAGTTCTGGCCCACAGAACAATAATCAGCGCTACTACAAGACATGAAGAAATTGAGATGCTGTATTTCATGGTATTACGGTAATACCAACGTTGCTTGAGGTGTTTCTGAAACCGCAACGTACGAAGTCTACAAACCATCTTCCCACTAGAGTCCTTAT